TAGTTCAATTAAATCCAACAACTCATTTGCAGACGTCGATCACGACGCAGAAGTCATGGACATGTGCACTCCACTAACACCGACACATACAGACACACTCGCGAATATCTCACCACTCTCTCAGCTATACAACAGATTCCCCGATTTCAATGTCTTAATTACGCCAAAAACACTCAAACAAACAATGCCAGCCACACAGACACACGAAGATAAACAACTAACTCAAACCACAACTTAATTCCAATTTTTTCTAAGTTAAATATTTATGAACTTTCTGTTAAATATAAACATACTCCAATGGAATATTCAGGGCTATATAAATGATAAATTCGCGCTCGAAACCCTAGTCGCCAACCATAATCCCGACATCATTGTTCTACAAGAAACACATATAGTTGACCAAAATATAAACATGCTGCACCTACCAAGATACAATATATAGTCACAACAAAGATTATTCATACGCCAAATCTGGTGTAGCGATCCTAGTTAAGCAAACTATTAACGTGCAAAATCACGAAACATCGAGCAACAATTTGTTATTTCATACTGTAACCATAAACGGGAACGCACAACTTCATATAACTAACGCATATAAAGAATGTGACGTTTATCTTACTCCGCAGATGATCAATGATATCCCTAAGTACAGCATAGGGCATCACTTGATCATCGGGGACCTCAACTCACAAAACACTCTATGGGGCTCCAAACACACATCACGCAGCGGCATAATCTGGGAAAATTTCTCTGATGACAGAAGCCTCGTTATATTGAATGACGGATCGCCCACATTGCTCACAACAAAGGGCACACTCACAACGGTCAACGTCTCTATGGCCTCTGCGGATCTAGCGGCCACCCTCACCTGGAAATGCCTACCCCAACCAGTAGCCAGCGATCACTTTCCAATTTTCATATATAATCGCATAGAGAGACATTGCAAACGTCTCAATCCGAAGTTTATACACAAAAAAGCTAATTGGAATTTGTTCGAAAGTAAGACCGATCGGTACTGCTACGATTACGAGGAATCCAACAACATAAACAGGGAAGCAGCCCAAATCAAACGTGTTATCCGAAGATAAGCTAATGAGTCAATTCCTCATAACAGGCAGCCGCCACAGCGATGCAATCCAATATGGTTTAACTCAGATATTGCCAAGCTCATTCAAGAAAAAAATCTAGCATGGAATCGCTTTAAACGTAATAGAAACGAGTCCAACTGCTCCAGTTATAGGCAAATATGCGCCAAAGTTAAATGGACTTGCAAAGAGTCCAAAAAGAAATGTTGGAGCAACTTCCTCAACTCGCTAAACCCCGACATGGACATCAGAGTGCTATGGAAAAAGGTAAATAATTTGAGAGCTGGTAATACTGAAAACTTTCCAAATATAATGCTGGAATCCACTGTCCTTACCCATCCTGTAGATATTGCTAACAAACTAGCAGACAACTGGAGTCAAGTTAGCTCCAACAGCAAATTCTCCCCAAAATTAATTACAGAAAAAACCAATTTTAAAATTGCTAATTTAACCGACCAGAAGCCTAGCTTAACAGACAGTATCAAAGACATTACAGCATTCGAACTTCATCTAGTCCTAAAGAGTGCCAAAGGGTCCAGCCCCGGAATGGATAAAATAACCTACTCAATGTTGAGAAATATCTCACCCAATCTCCAAAAGCGCTTATGTCGATTATACAACAAAATTCTAGTAACCGGTACGGTGCCACACGACTGGAAACACGCTACTTTAATACCCATCCCAAAACCTGGAAAAAGCCCCAATAGCGTAGAAGGCTATCGACCCATATCACTTCTACCCGTCATTTCCAAAATCTTTGAGAAAATAATCGCAAAACGATTAACGACCTGTCTGCAAAATAAAATATGTACAGAACAGCACGCCTTTTTAACCCAACGCGGCGTGCACACTCTTTGCCATCAACTGGAAAGCAAGTTAAAAGAAAACATGGCCAACAAAAAGCATAGTATCGTTTTGTCTGAGGACCTAGAGAAGGCTTTCGATCGCGTAATTGATACTTTTGTTATCAAACAGCTTCACGAATGGGGCATTCCGAAAACACTACTGCAAGTAATTTCATCCTTTCTATCCAACCGACTAATTACAACACGGATAGACGGCTACCTTTCCCATAAACGCGCCCTGGAAAACGGGCTACCGCAAGGTTCACCACTCTCCGTTGTTCTATATAATGTCTACACAAACTCGCTCGCTGTTGAGCTCAAAAAATCTGAAGGATTAGACTTTCTCGGAATCTACGCGGATAACATTTTGACAATATCTTCAGGCCCACAAGGGGAGGTTGGAAACCACATTGAGTCCTTGGACCATAAAATCAACATTTGGGCGAAAAGCAGGGGCGAAATAGTGCCAATTAGCAAACTTGAAGCCTTACACGTGTGCCGTAAACAGAAATGTGCAGTGACCACCTTAAAGTTGAGAGGGAACAACATCCAGATCAAAAATAGTATTAGAATTCTTGGGGTTGTATTTACGAAAACGTTACTATGGAATGAACAATCGAAGTACGTTGTGAACAAACTCAACAAAGTTAACAATCTCATGAAACTTATCTGCTCTCGTAAAAAAGGTCCACATTTAGAAACAGCCCTCAACATATGCCAATCCCTAACAAATGGCATATTACAACATTGCATTACAATCTATGGATGGACATCCGCCAATAATGTAAGGAAAATCAACACCGCCGTCAACAAATGCTTCAGGTCAGCTATTGGCGCCCTTCCTCCAACTCCCTTGGATGCCCTTAGAGTTGAAGCACGTTATCAAGACTTCCAAGACACGCGTTATAAAAGCGCCGTGAAACTGGCGGCCAAAGCAATTACATCAACACAAGCAAGCCTACATGAGCTTTATTGGAAACACATAAATGTATCTAAAAATGAAATTTCTAGCTGTAACTTGTGTAGCATTAAAAACACTATTAAATTATTGCTCGACTTGAAACTGCCTATTCCGGAAAAGCCACAACAACCGCAAAGTGATTACAACCAATGGTTACAAATTGACACCCAACTCAGCAGTCACACCAAAAACAACACCTGTGCTGCAGAATATTTGCATCTACTTTGCCGAATAACATTTGCAACATTTTCACCCGAAATTATATTATATGTAGATGGTTCCTTTCAAGACGGAGCAACATCCTATGCAGTGGTCAAAAAAATGGGGGGAAACAACTTCTCCGTTGTGAAACAAAGTATACTGCCACCACACGCCGGAATATTTCACGCAGAACTGAGTGCCATCCAGTGGGCCATCGAATACGCAGCAAAGCAAAATCGTAAAACACTTATATGTTCAGATAGCCTAGGTGCAACCAAAGCTCTAGCTAGCAGTACAATATGCTGAATTTGAGTCAACTAAAAAACCCAACAAAAATCCTTTGGGTACCAGGACACACGGGAATACCAGGCAATGTAGCCGCCGACCAAGCAGCAAAGGAAGCGCTGACTCTCCCACTAGTATATGAATGCCCATGTTTACACTCAATAATAACTACTTGCTATTCAGCTAAAGCTTTAGAAAACAATTTAAATGTCTGGCGTAGCTCAAACTCGTGTCTCCAAAAGCACAACAATCTGCCCAGAAGACCAAACTACGACAGTGATCTTTCCCGGCAGGACTGCATAACGCTCTCCAGAATCAGACTGGGGACAACACTCTTCTCAACCAAACACCTGCACACTAAACGCGAACCACTTTCCTGCACATCCTGCCTGACAACGTTGACTGTTGAACACATCGTGTTGCACTGTCCCATCTCTAAGAGTCACCAACAAATACGGGAGTTATTAGACTGCTCCAAAAAAGACAACATCGCCGTAATCAAAAAAATGCTATACAGCCACAACTTGTTAGACGAAACATAACTACTTAAACTAACACCGGTGCATAATGGCCTCGTCGCCCGCACCATGTAGTATTTTACAAATTCATTTGTAAAATATGTTGCAATAATAATAATAATAATAATAATAATAATAATAATATTAGTGGTATATTTTGCCTGGCAGTCTGGCAAATGAGCAGATTAGCTCAAGCAATGCCAGTTGTCAACAGTCGTTGCTTGAGCTCATCTGCTCTTATTTGACGGAAAAAATAAAAGTCAAGTGTTAACTTTTATTTTTGACCGAAAAGAAAGAGAAAGAAAATAACGATTATTTTTTAACTTTTTTGATAACTAGCATAACCGTTACGGTCCCTGGTTTGTAATACTGTCCAGACGTTTTCGAATTATTGTAAATTTACTGAATTATTTCATAGCACATAATTTGATGCACATAGATCTGACTGATTTAATAATTCATTCCTTTTACCGAAGGTTGCATCGGCTTTATGCAATGCTTAAAACAGATTTAAAATTCATCATTGCGATTATAATTCTTCTATTGCCAGGACCGAAACTTAATAATAGTTGCGTTCCCCAACTTTTCTGGGTTTAAACTTGTAAAACTGTCAAAAAGCAAAAGAAGCCAGAGAACCGAATACGGGATCGCTTTCTGGTAAATTCCTGTAAATTCTTGCAACTTCTTGCGAGTTAGAGAACGCAACTAATAATAACAGATTGGCGCTTATACATCCTGCTAGTGTTTGGCCGAGCTTCTCTTCCGATTTATGGCGTGCGCCTTAATGTCGTCACATAAAAGGGAAGAACCTACAGTTTTACGCCGACTCCGAACGGCAATTGTAATTTTATGAGAAGCTGTTTTCATGCAGAAATACACTCGGAGGTTTACCATTGCCTGCCGGAGGCGTGCGCTGTTAAGAAAAAAAAAACATTTTGCAATATATTTTGAATGTTGCTTTGACCAGCGCGTGAATACGGGCCCTGCAGAGTGGCAGCACGCACTGCTAACCACTAAACCACAGCGGCGGCTACTTAAATGATTTAAAATTATACTTTGAATTGCTGTAAACTGAAGCTTATTTTAAGAGTAAAATATTGATTACCGTTTCAAAACCAGAGCCGCATTATAAAGCGCTGTGTTAGATTGGGGCGCATACCCGAGATTATATGCACAAGTTAAAACCTTTTCCACAGTATCTCCAATGACAACTTCATGATGATGTTCAATATACCTAAACATTGCCTCCAGAGCAATGGGTACAGAACAATTTGCAGCGTTGAAGTTAAAAGCCATTTCTCTTATCGTGCGTGAGTTGATTTCTTTATAATCTAGTTGTTTGTACCGATCCAATGCTTCATAGTATATCGTTTTATTTTTGAAAGCTGCAATATGAAGTATAAAATAGATAATCATTAATATCCACATAAAAGTTGTATCTAATAGCGTACACTTTCTATATCCAAGGGTTCTTACTATAGTATTTAAATCAAATATTGACAAAGAATTATTTTCTAGATGTCTCGCAACACAGTCTGTTAGAACACTATCTAAAGTGGCGAGTTGCATCACTAGCAACGACGAAGTAGTATTACGAAATCTAAAAATAATTCGATACTTTTATTTATTTTTTAATTAAATAGTTAAGCAAAAAGCATTACCGTAATTCCAAAGCAATATGTATGCCTCGGCTTAGATAGAAGCAATCCTTTACACTGAACTGAGAGGACATGGATATGATTTTAGAAAGTAGTACATTGGGAAACTTCTTCCAGCCAAAAGGAGTATGACCATATGCTAGCACAAAAGAGGCTAAACGTGCAAATTTATAGGGCAATCGGGCAGCTATATCGTTTTCAATTGCTTCCATAGCCAATTGACACAATCGCCGTTCTAGCGGTATGAAACGATATGTACCACCTAAGTTGTTATTAAAATGCATGTACCGATGACAGTGTTTTAAAAATCGTAAATCGGATTCCTTGTGGCCAATGCTTTTGACTGAGGTTAGCACATTAGACCAGTAAGCATCACATATACTTGCATCAGATATCTTTAAAGCACGAATTATTTGAAAGAAGTCCCCATCATCATAAAGACTTGGAAAACGTTCTGAAGTAGAGATCGAATGTTTAAAAACATCTACTGTAGGTTCCCGTTGATGTGGTTCTAAAAATGGCATATATGCAGCGATTAGATCAGTTTTATGCTGATAATGAATTAAATCCTTCATCAATGAACTTAGTGGGGCAACTAAAGCTGCAGGCTCCAAATGATAACCGAAAATTGTACTGGTGGTTTTAAGGTCCGAGATACTTAACTTTGATAAATTCGGTTGCAATAGTAATAACAGATTGCGAATAACACGCCCGTTTTGTTGGGACCATGCTGGATGATTCAACAAATGTAGCAATCTTAATACAGTCCTTTGATTCTCCGCACCGATTGTAAAATTTTTTAGTACATCATCTATCTTCGCCTTAAATGTTTCTAAAATATCAATTGTAATCAAAGGCTGCAGATTTATTAGACAAACTGAAATCAAACGTAAATCGTCCTCGTTTTTGCATTGTTGAATATGAGACATTACATGAGGAATGAAGTGATTACAGACTGACGGTACGTGGAAGTCATTTCCAGTATTAATACCTACTGCCAGGCGAGATAATGCAGGTAAAGCAATTGGATTATCTGGTGTAGTCGCAATTTTTTCCAAAGCATTGCCCAGCAGCTGACTAACAACGGTATTTTCGTTTGGTATCTCAAATTTGCGTAAATAAAGGTAACAACAGCTTTGTTCCGCTATATTCATCGCTTTTACATGAGGTTTCAACCCATGTAAAATATTTTCTAGTAATTTGTCTTCAGAATCGTATTGAATACTTCGGCAAAGGTCTTTGAGAACTAGAATGCACTGTATAAAATGTTTATGATTTAATTTATGATGTGATGTTTTTATTAACTCCGACAACTGAAAGAAAATTTCACGATATAATGCAAATTATATATTGCCGTCATAAAACGAAAATAATATTAATTACTTTGTTCTTATCTTCGCAAGAGTTGATTTCGGCTAGGACATTGTCGGAATTTTCATCATATAACAGAGTTTTGAATTTAAAATTTGCAGTTTCTTCAAAATCGGTTATTGGTTCTTTGGTATTACATTTAGTCATTAGATTTGGGCTACATATCGCTCCTTTAGTCGTAGTCCTTTTCGGTTTGCAAATTTTATAGACATTTATGTTGCCCTTTACATTATACATGCATTTACTATATGTATAAAGCCACTCAACAAATTTAAGCCTTTGTGTTGTCATTGAGCTTGAAAACATATCCTAATTGTCTTATACGAACAAGGAATACAACTGTTTACTTAAACCTTACTAGAAGTAGGAAAGCAAAAAAAAACATCAATGCTATTCGATGTATCCAATAAAACCCATAATAAAACCGATGTTTCCGCTATACATCGAGAACTCGATACATTTGTATTTGATGCATCGACTTTTGTGTGCAATGTACACAGTCCGTTCTAAGACTGCTTTTACACAGTTCAAGTAATTAATTCAACTCAATTCTGCTCGCATGTGAAAGAGAGGGGGTGTGAAGAAAAGGGACGAGTACACATGCGTCGTTTCAATTGCAATTTCGTTGCTTCCTATTTAAAGAACCAAAGACTTTCGTTTGGAGCTAAAACGGTCGAAAAAAGAGCTAAATAATACTAATAGTAGCTAAAATGAGGAGCTACATATTTTTGTTTAGGTTGAGCATTTATTGACGTTAAACTATGTTCACATTACCAACATAAAATACTTAGTTTCGTTTAAAATACCTCACTAAATTAAGTGCGTTCATACACGCGATTCTTTATTTTTCTTGACAGCTTTGTAGCAACCCTGTGTTATTGTTTATTTAACCTAAAGAGATCGCGAATGTGAGTAATTGCGTGTATTTTTATATTCTGAGTTGTTTGTGGTAATTTTTTAGATTTTAGATGAGTGATCAAAAGAGAAAGCTTCTGGAAATATTTTACAAACTACCACGCGCGATTGTTAAAAACAAAAACGTCCAAACACAATGACATATCAGTGGGACAATACTTTTTTCGATTATTATCGATAAAATTAGAACCGACACTGATTTGTTCGTGATTTGGTTCTTGTTTTAAGATAAACTACGTACTTTCAACTTAATTTACTGAGAGACTTTACAAGGCGAAATTACTTAGTTTGTACTTAATTTATGCGTAAATTAAGATTGGCCTCTAAATTACGCTAATGGGAACATAGATTAAGGTTGTTTTTACATGTTCGGAAATTTGGAACAAATGCAGTTGGGCTCCAAATCTCAAAAAAAAAAACGATTGGAATCCATAGAGATGATTGAGCTGAGTATAACGGTATACTTCTTTTTTGGGCAAACAACAACAACAAAAATTATCAAAGGTTAAAGTTCAAAATAAGCAATTTTTGAAATCAAGATTTCTTAAAAACGGATGGATGGATCTTGAAAATCTCATCTCTTGATCTCATTTAATAGGAAACTTGATTCCCTTTAATTTGGTATACATACTTTATATATATGTTGTACAGTTCTTACAAAAATTGAATTAATGTAAAATAATTATAAAAACACACCTTTTGCAGAGAACACCTTTCTGCGTAGGCGGCCTTCGGCCGCACTTAAGGATTATAACCCTCACAACGTAGCATTCTCTTTCTGTGTTGCGAAGAAAAGGCACTGAACACCTTTTGCAGAGAACACCTCTCTGCGTAGGCGGCCTGTGGCCGCGCTTAGGGATTATAACCCTCACAACGTAAAATTCTCTTTCTGTGTTGCGAAGAAAAGGCACTGAACACCTTTTGCAGAGAACACCTTTCTGCGTAGGCGGCGTCGGCCGCACTTAGGGTCTGTAAGCTTTAATTTTCAAAATCCATTCATTCGTTTTTGAGAAATCTTGATTTCAAAAATTGCTTATTTTGAAATTTAACCTTTGATAATTCTTGTTGTTGTTGTTTGCCCAAAAAAAGAAGTATACCGTTATACTCAGCTCAATCATCTCTATCGATTCCAATATTTTTTGTTTATTTGAGATTTGGAGCCCAACTGCATTTGTGCCGGCAATTTTAATAAAAATAACGAATTTTATAAGTCTAAGGGCCGGTTTCTCTATCTCCGGTTAACACTAATCCCCCGGTAAACATCGGTACCGACCTTATCGACTCCCTGTTATATGCATGGAGTTAGAACGTCGATAACAATGTTTAACCGGGGAGTTAGTGTTAACCAGAGATGGAGAAACCGGCCCTAAGGGCCGGTTGTTCAATTTCTGGTTATCACTACCACTACACTATCGACGATTTCGACATCTGATCGATAAAGCTGTAGTTGTGCTTAACCGGAGCTTCTACCTCCGATTTGTGCTAATCAGACATTGAACAACCGGCCCTAAGGGCACTAAGCTGCGGTCAAACATCGTTATCGACGGCTTCGACTCCATGCATACAACAGGGAGTCGGTAACGTCGATAACGATGTTTAACCGGAGATTAGTGTTACCCAGACATTGAGTACCCGGCCCTAAGTGCTGAAAAAAATCTTTAAACCAAAATAAGGTGCATATATTTCAAAATTCGTTGCTATGACACTTATAACAGTGAACTAAAAATACTTTACAAACTGTTAAAGTCTGTAATTTAAGATATTTGAATTGAAAAATTTTTTCGCAAAATTTTTCTGGAAAGTTTTACTTCCATCTCTCCTTAAAGGTAAAATTAGTAAGGTAAAACAAAATCCGCGCTATCAGAAAAATTATTTTATTTTAATTAATTTTTCAACTCTTTAACCTCGATCCAAGAGTTCATGGTGGATACACTGCATCTCGAAATTTTCCATTTTATCAACGCATAAGTTTTGGCTTATATATACCAAATACAATAAAACTTTCTGGAGCTAAAAAATTGCTACATAAATTTGAAAAGAGCTAAAAAAAGAGCTAGGAGCTAAAACCCGATTTTCGGAGCTAAATAGAAAAATAAAGAGCTAAATCTAGCTCGAAAAGCACCGAAATGGCAACACTGCTCAGTATATCCAGTAAACAAACTTAGCTAAATTTTTTCACCAAATTTGGTCCTTATAAAGGACCAGTGTTGCAAGCAACGCTTTTTCGGTAATAAGGGTGTTGTGCAGCAATTCAATGTGGTGAAAATTATTTTAGCACTATAGAAATGGATAGAAAAATATTTCAGTGCGCTTGAACATCTCAGGTTTAACCGAAATATAAATGTATTTAGAATATTTATTTTATTAATACATACCCAATTTTTATTTTACTGTGTCAAAGTCATTGCTCAAATATTTGTAATTTAGTATTTAAGTTAACTGTGAAATATATTGAATGCACAAATTAAATTATGGAAGGGACTTATTTACATGGAATTGGAAACAGGGCTAATGATATACTTTAAATATGAATATACTTCTTAACTTTTTGAGAAAATTTACATACAGGTTCGAAATTATGCCAGTAACTTTCAAAGTTTCCGTAAGCATCATTTTGACAGTTTTTAGTTAAAGATGCAGTTATATATTTTAAAATAAGGTATTTCGATTTTTTGTTAACAGTTTTTTGGATATCTTCTTTAGTTTCCGAGTAATTGACTACAATGTTTTCGGTAATTTGGCACAAATTACGTTAGCAATGCTGTCGTACTAAACTAATCAAGATCTTTCAAATAGCGTTATCTGTTTTTAAATATCTGCTTTAGTTTCCGACATATTCACCCTTATCAAGAGTTTCATTTTCTCGGGTGGGTGAAAAAATTTCTGGCGAACCTCACGATTAGACTGATTAGTAAAAAGCATCGTTAATTAATAAAAAAAAGTTTAGCATTAGCAAAAAAGTCACGCATTAATTCTATATACGACCAGACCAACACCCGACGCCGTTATGTCTGTATTTAATAACGGCTCTATGACAAAATATTCATGAAATGTATTCGTAGATTTTTATTTACTTCATTTCATACATAAATATTAATCTAATTTTTTTTTTTAATAAGTACCAGGAATAATTAACAAAAAACTATTTCACTTAAGCTTAACCAACTTTTAGTTGCTCGGAGCTAATTTTGGAACGCTTCATAAAATATTTTCATAGACGGTAAATGCAACTCTGGGTGCATCATTAATGAAAAACCAACACAAATAATTAAATTTGTGGATTGGAGCCTTTTGAAATGGCCTTTAGAAACGGCAATGGAATTTCGACACTATTCAAGGAATTGTGAATATAAGCTTCCTTCCATTTGGCGTATTTGCGGTTTAAACCTTCAGAAAGTTAAAAAACAAAAACAGATTTACTATTTTTATTTATTATATATTTTTGAAATAAAAATACTCCACCTTGTACACCAAAAAATTTCTTTAAACCATCTTGCACAGTAGTTTGTTGATCTTATCTTCACGGTTACCGAAATCACCAACCTCAACGTAGTGATTAGCCCTCTTGCGCCAGCCACCGGTTGGTGTTGAGCTTGAATGGCCACAGGAAGTTGGAGGCTTTCTTGAAGTGGGATCTAACGGTGAATATTTCGTGCGCTAAATAATCAACGCACTGAATATCGTGCGCTTTGCGCAATTCGCGTTCGATCACAAAGTTGTCAGAGATTGGGACACGTTTGTAGATCAATTCACGAACTGATTTAATATTTGGATAGCCCCATGTGATATAGGGTTCGGCAATGCGTAGCATATTAATGGGTAAATTTGAAGAACCATTCGTGGTGAATGTGGCGAAAACGGAACAATAGTAAAACTTTACGCAATTTTGGTGCACCTTTGTTGATACCGCGGAAATGAGCCGCGTTTCTTTGCCAGACGGCGCAACTTATTCTCACTGCGTCCATCAGATTCACCAAGTTTTCACGTTTTCGGAGTGCAATCACAGCAGCGCTTTAGTTCACGCTTGATCAGGGTAGCATGTTTGCTGACCTGCTTCTTGATGAACTTCAGCTACGACTCGGAGACAGCAGGCTTCTTAGCGACCGTGGTGACAGTCATCTTAACTTGTCACTTAGCACGTTGAGAAGGCGAAAAACAGTTCGCCAAATGTATGGAGCACATCTTACATAACGCCACTCGATTTATTACATTTCTATTAAACACAATTTTATTTAATTATATAGGCGCATATTCATAGTCATATTTAGTACTCAACTAAGTCGAAACTATTCTAAGGGCCGGTTACTCAATGTCTGGTTAACGCTAATCTGCGGTTAAACATCGTTATCGACGTCTTCGACTCCATGCATATAACAGGGAGTCGGTAACGTCGATAACAATGTTTCACCGCTGATTAGTGTTAACCAGACATTGAGTAACCGGCCCTAAGTCACAACTAAAGCTATTCATAGTCGCCTTAGTTTCGACTTTTCTGGCTAAGTAC